CAGCTGGAGTGATGGAAGCTATTCTGATGGTTCCCTTTTACTTCAGCTCCTGAGACCTACCTGGAAACTTCCCAGATGCAATTCCACCCCCTTGTATCATGGGCTGTGCCTCAATACCATTGCCTGGGCCCTTGGTTCCATGGTGCTTGAACTAGCCCTTCTAGACTGACAGAGGCTAGGTGTTCAAATATTGCTTTTTGTTGTTGTTGTTACTTTTAATCCATTTTTTATAGTTTGGTGTTTGCTTTGTGATCCAATCTGAGAATGTTTTGCTTTTTAGTGTTTTCAGTTAGAATTGACATTCAATTGTATTTAACAAACAATGCTTTTTGGTTGGGTGGATTATGTTATCCCCTCGTACTCAGGAAATATTTATCAATGTGATGGGAAGTGCCTGTCTTCAGGTGGATAAGAGGGATTTGCCCATGCCATGTCAAAATATATTCAACTTTAGTTTCTCCTTCAGTACTTCCAAATAGTTGGGATTCAGCAGAACCAGGTGGAAGTAAACAGAATTATACGAATTGAATCTAATTGTTTGGCGGGAAAAAGTAATGTACTTTTTTATTGTGTAAGCCTGGTTCTACTCCATAGCTATTCCAGAGTTGGATTAGTGTTAAGGTTGTGGAATTGTAGAACAGGAAGGTGAACTTAGTGACCCAAGACAGCTGTTTATGTATTCACCATTATCGCATTCGTTTTCGGAACTAATCAGTAAGTGTATAAACTGTCTACACCGTCGTCAGTACTTTACTAGATATAGTGTGACTTCCTCCAGACTCTAGCCCTCTTCTTTCCTTCCTGGTCTTTCATTTAGAAGGTCTGTGGAGAGCAGAAAGAAGGAGCTCAAAGTTTCCCTGGCAGTTCTGAGAGGCAGAGAAAGAACAAACATCTTTATTATAACTCAGATTCTTGAGCCCCGAGCAGAAATGCAGCCTGTATTTATGGCCAACACACCATCATTCCTGGGCCCCTGAGCAGGAGAGCAGCAGTTGGTCTAATGTGACGGTTAGGGCTTAGACATAGGTGGGCCTGGGGAGAGGGGAGTTCATAACGGGTTAATAATTACTAGTGCTTCAGTCTCTTGAGCTTATGCAAACATCCATAGTGCCCTGATGGGAGCATGTTAGGTATAAAGTTTCGTGATCCTAGCTTTCTGGCCTTGAGAATGGTGGTTCTTGGGGGCTTTGCTCAGGGGAATACAATGCTCTCCAAGTCCTAACATAATGTTATTAGGATTTGAGGAAGCTAATGAACGATACTCCTACTTTCTCACATAAATTCTGAACAAATTCAGGAAGATAAAGGAGTAAGGCAGGTGGAGAGGGAAATGTCTAGCAACGTTACTTAAAGAGTTGCTAGAGAACATGACTTAGACATGTGGCAACATCCCAATGCTGCCAGTAAACATTAGAAAGACTTATCCCCCCGTTCAGGACACTGAGTGGTGGATTCCATCATCTTTCTATAAGCAAAACACAGACAAACAAAACACCGTACATATTTGAAAATAGTGCCCTGATGTGAGTCAACAAACCTCAGTTATATTAACTGATTCAATGCCCCTTGAATGAAGGGGAGTCTTCCTGGGTGCCCTAGGGAGGGGACCCTGTTCTAACGCTGAAGGTCTGCCTTCCAGCCTATACAAAAGTGACATGTGCTCTAGGAAAACATAGCTAAATGTTTTTAGAGATCCTGGATCGGAATTAGTACTAATTTGTGGTGGTAGATCATGGGGAAAACTTATTATCCATGCTACCTTTTGATGAGAGCAGGGCTTATGGACATTGAGGAATAAACAGATTTTTAGCCAAAGTCTTCCTAGAATTCTCCCCGCCCCCCCTTTTCCTATATACACTGTGAGGTGTGTGTGTAATTTTTTTCTACAAGTGGTAGAACTTTTACAACTATTATAATCTCTGCCTGGCCTGTGAAGTGAGGGCTTTTGTTGGGGGAAGGGCTAAGAGAAATCGGTAGACTTTCCTGTTGGTGAATCTGTAACATTGGCGCATTGCAAAGATCAGAACTACCAACACAGACGTGAAGTACACTGGCTGATCATTTCTATTATAATTCCATCAGTTCTTCAGTGTGGCCAAGCCAAAAAATGAGTGAGGAATGATAATGTTGGATTATTGTGTAATCAGATAACAACAACTATAGTTACTGTTCCATATGTAGCCTCCTTACTAGAGCAAATACAATTATTTGTACTTGGGATTCAACCATTGATCTAGCAGGTGTATTTTGAACACTGTCTGTGAGAAGCTCAGAATTAATTAGCTTTCATTCAGCAGGGATAGCAGTATATTTTTACCTCCATGCTCAGGCAATCACCATTGCTCTGGCCCTGAACTTGACAATGTCAAAGGATACCATACTGGCTTGTTATGCTGCTGATGTTATGTTGATAGGACTAGATAACAGGAAGCAGTAATTTTCCTGGATATCTTGGAAAGACAGATACCTGGTAGGAGTAGAGAGGTGATATATCCAGTGAAAATACTGTCACCTGCTTCTACAGTGAAACTTGTGGGTGTATGTTGGGTTGTTCCACTGAAATGAACATATTGTACTTTGTGCTCTTTACTTTTGAGAATGGTGTCTGGAGGCCTCTAAATTTTATAAGCAACATATGTTTCTTATTAGGATAGCATGCTCTGAGCCATTTAATGAGTGATCTAGAAAGTTGCTAGTGTAGCATGAGACTAAGTTAGAAAGGTCTCTCTGGCCAGCACAGGTTGAAGTACAATTGGCTCTGTTTCGTGGGTTTAAACTCTGTAGATCTAACGGTACTAGAAGTGTCCTCAGTACGCTAAATGAAGCTGACGACAAAGTCTAATAAGAAAATCAAAACAGAGATCCCTAGATGTGGTAGAAAAGTCATGCTCCTTTCTCCTCTTTGGGAAATAGCTTCTGGTTTGCTACTATGGTCTGGTGGAGACTAAATGCCCGACTCCACATCACCAGTTGGCCATGAAACTTGCTCTAGGCGGGGCCAGCTGACTCTCTGTCATTAGCTTCGATGTGCTCCACAGTATTCCATCTTCAGCAGGACGCATAAATGGAACAGAGGTAAATTAGGCCCTGAAGGTCCAAATACATTGCATAAGCAATTTCTCTGGGCCAGCTTTCCACAAGCGATGCCGATGACCTCAAGGAGATTTCTCCATGAACAGTTCACTGGGGTGAAACTACTTCACCTCGTTCATGCATGGTTCTGTTTAACATATTGGTACCAAGTGCGTGTGTACTCCTGTGATATTGAAACCTGTCAGAGACATGCATGAAGGAAAGAGGACAAAGGAAATCTTCTCAGGAGACAGAAATTCAATTAACCTATCTAGCTGTTCTCTTCCTTGAGCTCAAGATGTACATGGAGTTCTTGGGAGGGGCTATTGCTCAGAAGGAGCATGATGGAGGACACACTGTTTGGGAAAGAATCATGTAGGATGGATTTTCAGGGTCAGCTTGAGCAGAAGAATAATTGCACCCAATGAGAAGTCTCACCAAGATGCTCTCACTTAAGAAGACTTTAATAATTAGATGGACAAGCTGGTCTGCTCTGAAGTTCTTTCTCATTCTTCCAAGTGTTTTTTTGTTTTGTTTTGTTTTGTTTTGTTTTTGGTACGTGCCCCTAGTGGGAACTGAACCCGGGACTCTCTGGTTTGCAGGTCAATGATCCAACTGCTGAGCCAAACTGGCCAGGGCTTCCAAGTGTTTTTTAATGACATCATAAACAAACGGAACAGTGGGACTAACTAAGACATTTGCAGGGACTTCTTGCAAGTCTCACCTGGCTTACCACCACTGCTGAAGACCCCATTTGTCAGTGTCAGTGGCCAACCTCAGCCCTGATCTACTACTGTACCCTACCAGCCAGGAGGTGGTAGGTGGACCCCTTCCATTATGCAGGGAGTAGCCTCTTTGTCCTCACTGAAAATGACATATTTGGATTATCTTTCCCTTGCCATTGCCACTCCCAGCCCCGCCATCCTTGAATTAACTGAATGCCTTAGGAATTCCACAAAAAAGAAATGTATTTTTCAACCAAGGAAGTCACCTCACAATGATAGTGGTCATTCAGCAAGCGGATGCCCATGGAATTCAGTGCCCTTAACACATGATTGACCATCTAGAACCATTTGAACTTGTAAGACATTGGTATAACCTACTGAAATCTTAACACCCTTTCAAGCTAGAAATATCACCAGAGGCTGAGGTGCTCACTTGCAAAAACCATCCGTATCTCCCGAAACTAAACTTTTAGTTAATAACTTACACAAAGCTGGAGCTCTCACAATTACACTTAAGAATCCATAAAAAAATATATATATATATATATTGCTTTTCAATAAGCTTGGTCTTCATTGATTTAGAGAGGTTTTTAGAGCCCTGGAGAGGACAAGATGTACTGCTGTAGCTGCTTATGTCATAAGCCTCAGTGAAGCTTTGTGGTCGGTCACTTCTCATGGCTCAAGTCCCTTCACAGAGTCCAGAGGAATGAGTGACCAGAATCTGTGCCTGCTGTTAGGAGTTGTACAGACAAGGAGAAACAAAGTGTGATGCCTCCCACAGCCTCCCTCCTTAAATCCCCCGCCACACCTATACTTCTATGTTGTTCGCTCCTTGTCGAACTTGGCATGTGTTAAGTGGCACATGTTTAATTCTATGCAAGTAGCAGGGGTTTTGTCATCCAAATGGCTATTAGGTGGCCTTTTGTTTTTTTTTTTCAATAAGTCAATGATCAATTTGTTAGAACACTATCCCCACTTCATAAACTTTAACTGCCTAGGGAGCATTGAGTTTGCCATCTTCGCTGATGGGGAAGAAAAAGGGTTGTGCCATGCAGCCACAGTGCAGGTATGTACAAGTCACCTTGCCGGGAAGAAGAGAGAGAGGTATGTTGGATGCAACCCAAGGTGTCTATTGAGATTTGCTTGTGAGGCTGGACATGGGACAGGCTGTGTCACGTGGTCCAGAACTCTTGCTTTGGGAGCTCAGTTGTTCTGGATTGTGTTTTCAATCCAGGGCACATAGTTAAAGATTCTGGTATAGATGCCAGCATCCGCTCTCAAAGTACATCCGTCGACAAAGGCGAGGATTCCCTGAAGAGTCCCATTGCAGACGGCTGGGGCAGCTGTGACTTCCTGCCAGAAGAAAGGAAACTGGGTCATCTTTCTGGCAAAAGGCACAAGGGACAAAATGGGAACAGGAAGGTACTGAGAGTACTTACCCTGCAGGGCAGCCTTCTTCCTGGCACGATGCCCAAGCACAGCATATGTTTTGTGACGTGGTAGCGTTTATAGACATCTTCGCACTGAGTCTTGGAGATCACAGAGATGTTCACATTCTGCAGTGAGTCAGGGTCCTTGACTGTAAGAAAGGGGGAAATAAAGCATCCCCAAGCATTGTTAGAGACCAAACCTTCTCTCCTCCTTTCACTCTTCTTCAACCTATGTCGTCTTCTCCCAGCAGAGAGGAAAAGAGGTCAAATGCTGAGAACAATCAGAACTGTGGCAGCTAGGACAACCGGAAATGATCAGATTGACAGTTTCTCATGATACAAGTGTCTATTACAAAATGGGTTAAACTCTTGGAAGTTACATGTAAACAAACAGGAGAGATCTCCGCAATGAAATAAAACAAATTATTTTAAACATCTCTGGAAATTCAGACATTTAAAGAGTGTCCTTTGAGATGGAATTTTATTTATTTAGCTTTCATGCGTATTATTTGTCCCATATTTTCAATTTATCACTGACTCCTTTTTAAAATTTATTTATTGAAATATATTTGACTTGCAATGTTGTGTACATTTAAGGTCTACAACATGTTGATTTGATACATTTATATAGTGTAATATGATTGCCACTGTACAATGGTTAGCATCAATAGCACGTCACATAATTATCATTTCTTTTTTTGTGTTGTGGGAATAATTAAGATCTATTAGCAAGTTGGATTATACCACAATATTGTTGTTTATATTCACTATACTGTGCATTAGATTTCCAGGACTTCTTTATCTACCAGAAGCAAGTTTGCACCCTTAGACTACATGTCTGTTTTTAGTTTAAAGGAATTTAGAGAAGCTCTATGCTTAGTTTTTCATTTGTCAGATCAAAAAATCCAGTATCTGCTCAAAAAAAGAATCACTCAAAAAGTGATTTTTTAAAGCCCATAAAACGAGAATTTAAAAGTGGTTTCTTGATTCCCAGTTCTAGTTATTTCCTTTATATTAATAGTTCACAAATACTGTGGATTGTGCAGATCCATAACAAAGTTTTTTTTCAATGCAACAGAATGAGAAAAACAAGAACAAAGTAATATTAATACATATGTTAGGTGGTCTTGCTAAAGATTCTTCGTTGGGAAGAAGTAGTTTATTTTGAGATTTGGTTTTTCTAATGGGAGTGTGTTTATTTGAATGTCTTTATTTGGAAAAGGTATATTCATTCTTGAAATGAAAATGATTGAGAGTCTTTGTTTTACTTCCCAGTCCAGCAATCATTGTATGGTTCAACACTTCTTCTGGGAATGCATTTTTTAAAATTAAAAATGTTTTCAGTGACAGTTGACATTAAATATTACTTTGTATTAGTTTCAGGTATACTGCCTATTGTATATATGGGAATGCATTTTTAAAAAAATACTTACTTTGCTTCTTTATGAGCCAGATCAAAATAAACTGCATTATTATTATTATTATTATTATTATTATATATTTTTTGTAAATCATTGCTCTTTGGCAAACACAGTGAACCAATAATACTGCTCACTGGGGGGACACTTGCCTATTTCCAAAACTTAGATAGACTCTCAAATGACAAAGAATTTCTAGTTGTCTAGAGGATATTATAAGTGAAATTCATTATACACAGAAAGCCAAATACCATATGCTCTTACCTAAATGCGGAATGGAAACAAGCTGAACTCATAGAAACAGAGTCTAGCATGGTAGTTGCTAGGGCTCAGGCTGGGATATATGGAGGTATGTTAACCAAACAAACTTTCAGTCATCAGATGAATAAGTTCTGGAGGCTTAATGCACAGCATGGCAACTGTAGTGTATAATATTATAGTGTGTATTTGAAATTTTCTAAGAGTGTAGATCTCAAGTACTCTCACCACACTCACATGCACACACTCACATGCACACACTCACACACACACTCACACTCACTCACACTCACACTAGGTAACTATATGAGGATGCATAATTAGCTTGACTGGGGCATCACTTCATGATATATGCATATATCAAAACATGGCGTTATACAACTTACATATATGCAGTGTTTATTTGTCAATCATGCCTTAGTAAAGCCGGGGAAATAGCAATTTCTACTTTTTTACATATTCAAGAAAATGTACCCCAAGTTCTGAAGGTATTTACCAAAGATCAGTTTTAAAAAGCCTCAATGAAGGCAGTATTATTAGCCACCTCTTGGCTTCTAGAAAAAAAAGAAAAAGTAGAGGTAGGTGGATAATTGAAATCTGACAGGCTTGTTAAAAATGATTCTCCTTTCATACTCTGACGTCTAGTGTAGGATGTATGTTAAATATATTCAAATAAGTTACTCATAAGGAAAATTCTATGAGTAGCTTTTCTTAAGAGATGATATTGTAGTTCTGTTTCCCTTATAGTTCATCAGCTCCCCCCTCCCCAGTAATCACGATCTTGATTCATAGCTATAGACAGTTGGTTAGACTCTGCATGAACGTTTTGGAATGGGTTAGGGCAGAGGGCAGACAGTCACAAAACTTGGACAGGAGAAAGTTGTCTTCGCTTACTCCAAGTTTTTTTTTTTTTTTGTATGGAATCTGAAAAATGTGACAGAGAAGAAAGCTTGGTCAGAACATGTAGTTTGGTGGTTTCAAGTTACATCTTGGAGACCTCTACTGATAAAAATCAGGAGAGTCATTTTTTTTTTTTTTCCTGAATAAGTGGGAGAATGTTCAGAATGTTGTCAATTCAAAATGTTTCAGGGGTCTTTTCCTTAAACCTTTTCATTATTTATCTGTATACAATCTTGCTTAAGGAAGGTGTACCAGATTAATGATAATACTGTCTATATACCTTATGTTTAATGGATGATATTTCAAGGCTTTAAGTTTCTTGATTGCCTGGGATAGTTTGAAAACATCTTATTTGCTTTGTGCCACATTTTGGGGTTAAGAAAATTGAGGGTCCACCGTGAAGTAAGTGGCCCATTGGCACATAGCAAATTCAAACCAGAATACAAATGTCTTTTTTCCACTAATACCACTTCTATCATATATAAAAGCAAAGATGATAGAAATATACAGTGGGGTGAAAGGCTTGAAGGACTCCCTCAGGGAGGTATAGGGAAAGGGGGAAGGAGATGAAATGGATGAATAAAGAAGTTAGAAGAAAGAATGGGAGAATCGCATAAGCCAGAGATAGAACGCTTCTGAGAGATGATCTTGAAGTCACTTACAGACGTTATACATGTTGTAGGCCCAGGTGGAGACAGTGCACATGGTGTCTTCGGTGACAGGTTCTTTGGGCAGACTGACCAGTTTCACGTAGTCATTGACTTCAACGTGTTTGTTCAGCTTGATCAACATTAGGTTATTCTCAATCGAAGTGATCACGAAGTGTGGATGATTAATCACCTTCTCATAGCCAACCACTTGTACATTTTCCTCACTGACACTTGATGGGTTTGTAACTCCCAACACCACCTTAAGATTCCTGGCACAATATGTGTTTTTTTGAGAGGAGTTAACAGATATGGCTTTTCCATCCTTCTGGGCCTTTATTAACGCCTCCCCACAGACTTATTTCTCTACTACTGACCATCCCCAGAAGGCCTCCCTAATCCCATTTAATTAATGAGCAGTGGTCCCAAGTAGGGGTCTGGGTCTGTGCCCAAAGTGAGAACCCCAAGCACAGAGGGGCATTGGGTTCTTATCACTCACGGTAAGTTGCAGCTCGAAGACGTAATCACCCACAGTGGGTGGATCAGGACTCCAGTGCAGGGCAAGTAATCAGACTTCAAGTAGACTAAGTAGGGGGGAGTGACGCTGTCCATGGAATCTGGGTCATAGGCCAAAGCACCTGGAAAGAGAAGCATAGACAGAAAATGCTGAGATTTCTTTTTTCAGGGCTCACTTGAAAAAACAAACAAAGGAAAATTACTTCATAGTTGTAAGATATAAAGAAAATGATAGAAACATATTTATTTCAAGAGATAAATGGTGTTTTCCCTTTTAGTCATCAAGAAATATCCTTCCAGTGAAAACATAAGCTTTCTCAAATATCTCCCACAATTCAGTGGACATCTGTTAAATCAACTCATGAAGAACTTCACTGTTTTCAGAATGCTTTGACCAATCTTATCCCGTCTTCCCAGCACTAACGCAAGGCAGAATGATATAAGTGCCGTTTAAAGGAGAGACCAAATGCTAACACACTCCAAGGAGGGGAAATCATCCATTCATTCAACAAGAAAATATCCAGTACCTCATGGTACGAGGCTCTGTTTGAGGTAGTCGGGCAATATAGTGAACAAAACAGAGAAATATCCCTGCTCTCATACATTCTCGTGAGGGGAGACATTCAATAATAACAAACACAATACATAAGTATATGAGACAGTATGTTAGATGGTGAGTAGTGCTTTGGGGAAGAAAAGTAGAACAAGGAAGGAAGGGAAGGAAGAAAGAAAGTAGCAGGTCTGTGTGTGTGTGTGTGTGTGTGTGTGTGTGTGTTGGGGGCACTGTGCAGTGTTACACCAGTACTCAGTAGGTCTCATGGATGTGAGAGATGAACAGAGAAGTGAGGCTGAGGGATGGAGATCATCAGATATTTGGGGAACAGGATTCAGACCGAGGAAACAGCTGGAGAAGAGTCTTAATGCCTGTTTAAGGAAGATCACAGAGGTCACTGTGGCTGGCATCGTGAGTGAGGGGGAGAAAAACAGGAAAGGAGAGAGGCCAAAGAAGTAATGCAGGGCTGTGTAGAGGGTTGTAAGGACGTGGACTTGTCTTCTGAGTGAAATGGGGGGTTGTGATATGTGGTGAAGGAGTGATGACAATTTTCTTATGCAGAAGTGTTGAGTGTAGAAGTGTAAAGCAAAATTGTTAGGAGAACAATTTGATAATCCAGGCAAGAGATGGTGGCTTGGACCATGGTGAGCAGTGACGGTGGTGAGATGTGACTGGATTCGAGATTTATTTAGGAAACGTGGTCAACAAAATTTTCCAAACAGATTGAATGTGCTATGTGAGAGAAAGTGGATTTATGATTACCTTCAAGGTTTTTGCCTGAACAATTGGAACTATGCCCAGATAAGACCCAAACCCTGAATGCTCTTCTGTGTCCATTAATTGGACCCCTGCCTCCACTTCTCACACCAAAGTCAATCTTATTCTAGATAGACCCAGGGTCAGCTCTCAGTCTTCCTTAGGAGCAGGTCTGGTATTGGGGTTCCAGTGTCCATGCCTCCCCCAATCAACCTGAGGTGAAGCAGGCAGGCCATGTCACAGGAGGGAGCCTGGTGGGGCTGGTGGCAGCGGTGAGGGACAGAGTTAGCCTACACTTGTCGTCAGCCTGGAACATTGTCTTCATCCACCTTTCATATTCCCCCTGGGATTTCTCTTTGGCAAGTGAAGAGAAATGTGCAGACACTCACGCATCAGGTTCAAGATCACCCAGAAGAAGATAAACTTCATAATGATGGAAAAGCCTTTTCCAAGGAGGAGATTCTGTTCTGAGTCTCTGAAAAGGATGAAGAGGAGAGAGAGAGAGATAGAGAAGGACTAAATAAGATAAGGCAGGAAGGGGTTCTAGGGTTGGGAAAAAATATTATCTGAATTTTTTTCGGGGTAGGATTCAGCTCCAGAAGAGGTGTTTATCAGTCAGAGTAGGTGGTGGTATCAAGTGTCACAAGGACAAGAACAGAGATCAGGTGACTTGGTCCTTGACACAGTAGAGAATAGATCAGTGTATTGCTCTCCGTCAGATTAAAAAATACCTTATCTGAGAAATGTTGAAGCTCACAGGGTGTTCATAGCCTCCTCCTCTCTGGTCCTCACTTTGTCAAACACTGAAATCATGTCCCTCTCTGAACTACATGCAGAAGACTGGCCCCACCCATCTGTGTGATGCTCGCCCCTGCTTGTGTGCCATTGACAGTTGTCTCCAGTGGCTATTATCCAGCACTCTTGTGCTGACGTCAACCCCTTTGCCAGGCACTAACCACCTCCTCGAGACATGCTAGCCCTTTCCTCCATGTCACTAGTCACCCGTTTATTTATTCAACCAGTCAGCCCATAATTTATATTATCCATCTGCTTGTGCTAGGCTCGGTGCTTACTGTTGAGTTTGCCTAAATGTAAAGACACTTTCTGCCTTCAAAGAGCTTATAGCCTAGTGGAATGATAGAAACATTAACAGGCAATTACAAAACAAAGTATTCGAAGCTAAAACTCTAGTAAAACACTGCCTAGGTGGGGATATTTGCAAAACACATATCCTTTAAATAATTTGTGTCCAAAGTATATAAGGAAAACTTAGAACTCAACAGTAAGGAAATAAGCAACTCAATTAATAAGTGGGCCAGTCCGGCTGGTGTGGCTCAGTGGTTGAGCGTCAACCCATGCACCAAGAGGTCACTGGTTCGATTCCTGGTCAGGGCACATGCCCAGGTTGTGGACTTGATCCCCAGTGGGGGGCATGCAGGAGGCGGCCAGTCGATGTTCTCGCTCATCAATGTTTCTGTCTCTTTCTCCCTCTTCCTTCCCTTCTCTCTAAAATCAATAAAGAAACATAAATAAATAAAAATAGTGGGCCAAAGATCTGAACAGACACTTACCAAATGTCTGCTCAATTTGCCATAACATAACACCACAGACTGAGTGACATAAACAGCAGATGTTCATGTTTCCACAGTTCTGGAGGCTGGAAGCCCATGATTAAGTTGCCAGCAAGTTCAGTGTCTAGTGAGAACTCTCTTCCTGGCTCGTGGACAGAAGCCTTTCCACTGTGCTCTCACATGGTCTTGCCTCTGTATATATGCACAGGCAGAGAACGAGCCATCTCTCTGGCGCTTCTTTCTATAAGGACACTAATCCTATCAGATCAGTGCCCCGCCCTTATGACCTCATTTCACCTTAATTACCCCCTGTCGTCCCTGTCTCCAAATACAGTCACACTGGGGTTTGGGGGGGCTTCAACAATGAATTTTGGGAGTGTACCATTCAGTCCATAACAACAAAGAAGATATACAGATGGCAAATAGCATATGAAAAGATTCTCAGCATGTCATTAGGGAATTACAAATTAAAGCAATGATGAGACACTGCTACCTACCTAGTAGAATGGCTAAAATTCAAACTACCAAGAGCACCAAGTGTTGATGAAAATGTGGAGCAGCAGGAACCTTCATTCATTGCTGGGGTCCGGGGGGAGATGCAAAATGGTACAGTCGCTTTAGGAAGTAGTTGGCAGTTTCGAACCTTGGAAGCCACCAAGAGGTCTTTAAAAAAGTGAAGGGTTAGATGCAGTGTAGTGCCTTTATATAATGGAGTACCTATTTAGTGATTCTTTAAAAATGAGCTATCAAGTGAGGAGAGACATACATGCATATTACTAAGTGATAGAAGCAGTCTAAAAATATGTCTTGTGTGATTCCAATTTATGACATTTTGGGAAAGGCACACTATAGAGACAATAAGAGTATTAGTGGTTGCCAGAGTTTGAGAAGGGAGAGGGATGAATAGGTAGAGCACAGGGCATTTTTCAGGCAGTCACATTATTCTGTATGATACTCTAATAGTGGATACATGACAGTAAGCTTTGGTCAAAACCTATAGCGATGTATAACATAAAGAGCAAACCCTAATGTAAACTATGGACTTGAGCTAACAATAATGGATCAGTATTGGTTCATCAGTTGTTAACAAATAGATCGCAGCAAAGCAAGATGTCAATAAAAACAGAGGTTGCTCAGTGGTAGAATTCTGGGGGTGGGGATACAGGGTATCTAGGTAAACACTGTAAAAGTCTTTCAGCTTTGTTGCATGTTTAGAATTTTTCATAACAAATTTTGGGAGAAAAAAATTTTAATTGAGGTAAATGCCTTGGCGCACAGAGCTAAGGACACTTTTTTAGTCTATACTGTGTATAAGAAAGGGGTACCCAGAAGTTATACTTTACTCGGGGCTTAGAGATAGGGAAGAAGCTTGTCTGGCATGAAAAGAAGAGACAAAATAATTCAAAAAGAAAGAAAGGCTTCTGTAAAGGCATGGCATGTGAAATAACATGGTATGTCTGTGTAACTGTGAGTATTATAAGGGCAGTGTGAAGAGCTGGGTGGAGAGACAAGCAGGGATTAAATCCTGAAAAACCTTATTAGATAAATCTTGCATATTTAAGACTTTCAGAAGTCTTTACTTAGTATGAGATAAGGAGTCACTAATTCATTACTTAACAAAATTCTACTAAATGTTGTGAAGGACAGACCCCAAGGCCCATGTTTACGCCCTGAATAATACTCAATTGCCTCCCCTTGAGTGTGGGTGGGACCTGAGACTTGCTTCTAACTAATAGAATATGGCAAAAATGTTGGGATGCCATCTCCATGAATGTGTGTGTGTGTGTGTGTGTGTGTGTATCTCCACCTTGCTGGCATGCACAAGAGAGATTTTTCCCACTGGCTTGATGAATTGAGCAGCCATGCTGAGAAAGCCCACTTGGGCAAAGAACTGTGTATGGGTGGCCTCTGTGTACTAAGGACAGTCTTAAGGTCCTGGGGGCAGCTTTCAACTGACCGCCAGCAAAAAGTGAAGGTCCTGTGTCACACCACCACAAGGAAATGAATTCTGCCAACCACCTGAATACACTTAGAAGCAAATTCTTCCCTCAAAACCTTCTTAGACCCTAAACAAAGGACCTAGCTAAGCCATGCCTGGACTCTTGACTTACAAAATCTGTGAGATAACAAATGTTTTGAGCTGTTCAATTTGTGGTAATGCTTTATGCAGCAATAGAAAAGTAATACATATAAATATTGTTTGCTGGCATTTTATTAGATATTAATGACTTAATGGTAAGGGAGATGAAAATGGTACCCTCACAGATCCTAAAGACTAATAGGGGAAGCAGGTATAGTAAGACTTGCCACCATAAAATGTCACAATGTGGGAAGTAAAGAGAGAGAGAGAAACACACATAGCAGAGTCCCTATTGTAAGGGTCAGAAGAAGACCTCCTTGAGGAAGTGATGCTTGAGGCTTGAAGGCTGAGTAGAAGTTAACCAAAGGAAACTATGATGGAAGAAATCTCTAGGGAGATGAACCAGGACTAAAAAAAAAAAAAAACGAGCAAAGCACATACAAGAGTGTGAATAGAGACAGAGAAGTATTTTTTAAGACAGAACTGCCAGGAATTGTCAAGAACTTCCTGGAAGAAGACAAAGGAGGCAACCGGAGAGTAGATCAAGGGAGAATATCCTTGGGCTCTGTGATTTAGATGGGAGAGGCTTTATCTTGCTTAAATGGTGACAGGAAGAAGCCAATAGATTGAGGAAGTTGAAAACTAAGGTAAAGGAGAGATCATCAATAAAGCAGTTCTAGCCCTGGCCAATTTGGCTCAGTGGTTGGGCATCAGCCTGTGGACCAGAGAGTCCCCGGTTCGGTTCCCGCTAGGGGCATGTACCCCCCCCCCCACAAAATCAATAAAGCAGTTCTATAAGGATATCAGATATCAAAGGTAGAAATAGAAGCTAAAAATAATAGGGCCTCCCTTCCAGAAAGGATGGGAAAAAAATAATTAAGAAAAAAACGATGTTTGCAGGTTGAGTGGTAGGAAGTTGCCTGAGGTCTCTTCTGATGGTTCTACCATCCCTCTGCTCCCAGAGGTCATCTGCTCAAGGAGAGCACGAAAGGTGAGAGGAGAGGGGAGGATGTTTGACATGGCCATGAAGGAGAATTGCACAGACAATGAAGGAGAATTACACAGACAATGGACTTGAGAAATATAGAATGGTCAGTAAACATTAGGACATCATTTCCACATTACAAAACGTGATCGGAGCAGGGAACATTGGTCAGTGAATCAGAGGCAGGAAGCATGGAGCAACTAGGAATGAGGCTGCTAGAGAAGACAGAGAAACAGACGGCCTTGTGTTTTAGACGGGCCAAAGATGACAAGAAAAGAAAGCAAAGTTAAATGAAATGGCCTCGTGTGTAAACTTGCGATGATTTTTGTGTTATGTGAGGATAAAGCTGTGGGTCTCAGTCAGCACCAAGATCTATTTGGGGTGGGGGTGGGGGCTGGTAGAGTATAAAAAGCATCCAGGCAGTGTATATCAATGTCCAAGAACCAACCTACCCCTGCAATCTCTCCTGACACATGGATTCACTCTCTCTCTTATAGGATGGATCTCAAACCTCTTCATTCTTTGCAGTCTCTTTCTCCAAAGGCATGATTCTCTCCCTCCCCATCTCACTGACCCTTCTCTGTCTCTCTTTGCTCATGTCACATTGCCTCCCTTACATGTAACTCCATGGCCTCTCATGTATTACTCTGAACCCGAATTCTTGTGTTACTTGGAATCCTCTCCATTCTGTATATTTAGATATCTTGGTCAATGGGTCCGGTATACTATACATCTCTTCATCATATGCCAATATGAGAGAAGGACTAATAACTCCATCATAATTCTTCCTAATAGCACAAAACTCTACCAAAGCCTGCAGTTGCTACCCATAAATATAGACCTCCTTAGCTGTCATTGCCCAGATATAATCTGAGATCTATAGCTTTGTCTCCGGCTGTCTGCTAGAAATGACAGCCGCCATGTCTTTCAAGGATGCCACATATAACATGCTTCCTCTCTCCTAATTCATGACCATGTCCCTGATCTTTTATAGATGAAAACATTTGTTCTGTTTATATTATCTTTGAGAACCACCACCTACCCAGTTGCCCAAATCAGAAACTTGGGCTTTAACTCAGTTTCTTTTTTTGTTCCCACTCACAGTCAATACATCTACAGATGTATTGTACAGATGCAGTTTCTTGAGTCTCTCCCAATTCAGAAATCTGGTGATATTCTCTCTAATATGGAGGCATTAATGACACCCCTTTTGATGCCTACAAGATAAAAATCTAAATTTCTTTACCAAACAGGTCAGGCCCTTCACTAACACTTGCTCACCTACAAATAACAACCTTTTATCACGTTCTCTCTCCATTTTGTCTCCAGTATTACTTATTTACATATGTTTTCTAGAACATGCCACATTTTTTATGCTTTTCTGACTTTTACTTAACTGTACTCTCTGCGTTACAATATTGTCTCCTAATTTGTCTGCCTCTTTGGTGATACCTCCCCTGACATATTTTTATTCTATGCTCTCACAAAACGTATCATTCATCTCCACTTTGACAATTGACACAAGGTATTATAATTGGTGATTGATAGTAAAGACTATGTCATATTCACTCATGTACCCCTAACATATGCTTTGCCTACTGGGTAGCCAGTGATTCCACAGTCTTTGAATGAATGAACAAATGATGGGGATGTTGCTAAGTTTCTCATTGTTCTCACAGTTGACATGATAAAGAGGTCAGGATCACAGTATGAGTTCTTCATGTCATTTTTTAATAGGATGGTTTTTTGGTTGTTTTTTTTTTTTTGGATACTGTTAAAGAATGAGAAAGATCTAGAGAGTTGGGGATCAAGTGTAGAAGTCATGAAGATGTTGTACCGGGGATGAAGGAACAGAGGAGACTTAGTAGCTATTAATGATTTTTAGGATCCATCTTGCATAGGGATGGATTGCGGTGAAGAATGCCTCACTTCCCAGGGTGACACTTCCTTTTGACCAAGACAAGATTCCATGCAACCTCCCACCGCAGATGGCTGGAGCGGCTGAAACTTCCTGTCAGGGAGAAGGAACAGGAGGTCAATGTTGCTTTTTGTCCTCAAGAATAAATCCCAAGAAGTGGCACATTATAGTAGCTGGGGAATTTAAGGGACTGAACTCATTTTCATTGAGAGGTGATAACCCTCTTTTCATATCCACGTAGGTCTCTTGAGTCAAGCTTGGCCCAACCTGAGAGCAAGCAGGTGAAGAAAGGATAAATGGTTCTACCCAGAATCTCTTCTACTCTAAAAGACGGGAAGGGGAATTCATGACAATCCCGTCTTGAGACTGAGTGGGGGGTGGAGGAGGACTTCAGGCCTTTTGAATGAGTACTAATTGATTTCCCACAATCACCTCTCCTCTTCATGGACCCCTTGCTATCTCCCTGTCTGGGGAAAGAAAATATACCATAATTTCAGATATGGAGCTTAGAGGTTGTCCGAAACACATGATGTTGACTGCCACTCTTTGGTTTAGCATATACTGGCACTCATAGTGGGTAAGAGCATGTTGATTTATCCAAGTCAGGATATCAGGGTCACTCTCTGTGAGAAACAGAAGAGAAATGAAGTCCAGCATTACTCTCCTTATCACACATACTCTTGTGATCAGCCCCAATTTTGTAAATTGCATTAATCCCTGAGAATATTCATTGCCAGAGGTGAATATCCATCCTTCTCAGGATTCCTTGTTCAGTCTCTCTGTGTCAGAGCAGTGGGTTCAGAGCATTAAGTTCTCCTTACAACAGACATCAGATCTGTGGCTCTCGCTCTACTATACGTAAGAATGTATATGTATAAATATACACACATATTTTCCCCTAAGTCATTATATTATTCATCTCCATTGTAGCCATTGTTACTATCCTGTTAATCTCAGGATGCAAGGATTCTAACCAAGATATTGTGTAATTTTAATCTTTAGTAGTGTATAGCAAGGAGGAAACAAAAAATTGACCAGGGATTGTTTGAGCTAAACCTAGTGTCACTTACAGAGTAGGATTTTTCTCATGGAGTGTATCCAATCTAATGTCCTAGAGCAGATTAGACCACAAAGTGTCAGGTCAGAAAAGAGAGGAGTTATGTTCAGTTCTAAATTTTTATGGGAATTGAATTGCAATATGCAGAACAAGCTAGATGAAAGTAATCTTGTTACTCGAAATAATGAATTTCTAATAACTATTGGGGAGATTTGTACCCAACAGCTAACTGAATTAGTTTGTCACTGTGATCCTGACCTGCAGAGTCTATGTGATAAAACCTTTGTATAGTTTTATTTTGTTTGCAAATAGTATGTAATAAATTACTTTTGTAAAATGTAATGCCATTACTTTGAATAAGACTTATAAAGTCAAGGATAAAATCATACATATTTGATTTGTTTAGAAAATATATTCACTTAGATTTCCAGGAATGTTGCTTCTACATCGAAAATGAAGTTGCTAAATATGAAAAATATAAAAGTTCCCACTTTTTATTTGTTTTTGCAAAACAGAATGATTTTAAAAGTTCCCACTTTTTATTTGTTTTTACAGAACATATGGATTGTTCTATAACCACCAGTGGTATTTAAACCTGATTAATATCCTTGACAATTTGCCTCAGCGGACACAGCTTTGGCAAACCAATCAATCAATGTCACTTTTTAAAGTCAGCCAATCAGATCCCCTTCCAAAAAAACATGCCTCAGAGTGATAACCAATCAACGACCTCATCCAAGTAACCACGCCTCCACAAAATGAGGTCAACTCTCTTTAGCCTCTGAAAGTCCTCCAATTTTTGTCCACAAAGCTTCTCACAAACCCCATATAAGCCCAGTACTCTGCTTTGCTCAGCAAGACTGTGTGCTCAGCATTGCTCTACCTTAGTATAATAAGCCATAAATTTAGCTGTATCTTTTCATTTCAGATATTGAATGTTGATTTCATTATCCTTTGACAATACCTAAAGAGAACATAATGGTTATTAGCAGCCATGTGAAGGAAAGGCCACCAAAACCAACAAATGTGTAAGCAAGCAACTTTCTTCATAAAATGCCCTTGATGTGATCCTGCAAAGACCACATCTTCTCTGCTCACATCAATTAGAGCTCAGAGAGTAGAGGGATGTGTGCTTGCAATATGGGTTATGGCAATTTTTCCAGTGTGTGTCAGACCAGAGACACCCAGAGCATGTCATAATCATCAACTCCTATGAACCTTCTCATCTCTGCCCCTAAGTGGGAACTATTGGATAGAGCCATGGGTCTAAGAGCAGCAATCCTTTCATGGAAGCAGCTCTGGTGACAGGAGAGATGGCTTCCCCAACCACCTTCTTATCTCTTGGGGTCCACTTGAGTGAATCACCATCAACACACATTGGGTTGTCTGTGGTCGGGGGTGAGAAGCTTCCTCTGTTGCCTCCCTATATCACATGGTTTGTTTTGGTTTACCCACTGCTATTTCATTAATTGCTTGGAGAACTTAGTAGCCATCCATGAGACAGCAAGATGCACCCCCACAATATGCCTTGATATTGTCTTTAGAGTGAGATACTAACCCACCTTTATTTAAATGTAGTTCCTGGGACTCTGATCTTGGTTCTAACTGCCTGTTTCATTTGTTGATGTCCCATGGCTGCCCTATATCAGTCTCTTTGAATTTTATCTTTTAGCCTCTAAGCTTGGTATTATTAGTTCCAGCAATTGCTCTCAGGTCAAGAACATTATTTACCTCATAGCCCCATTTGCTTCAAGGATATCCCTCCATGTTTTCCACAGCTTGAAGAACGCAGAGTCCAATACTTACGGTTTCTGTAGGCATTCCACCTCCAGGTTGGGATAAAGCAGGAATCATTAGATGTTAAAGGTTCCATAGCAATAGCTATGGTTCCCACATAGGTGTTGACTGCAGCAGCCTTGGACAGTTTTATCATCATCAGGTCATTTTCCAGTGTGTGTGCATTGAATTGAGGGTAGGGCACAATCAATGAGTTGCTCAGTATCTGCTCTTTCTTATTTTTGATGCTGGGTTGATAAACTCCCAGTCTAATTTTAAAGCTTTGGAAGAAAGAGGGCAGAGAAATGGAAAAGAACATAGTTATCAAATGTCAGAACTGCAAGAAACGTCAGAGGTGACTTTCTACAGTTTTCTTAATTTTCCCTCTTAGACCTGAGAACTGAAGTGAGCTGCCTTGGTCTGTAAAATAGTAATCACAGGAGTATTTCTTTTTACAGGCAATGTATATATAAAACATGACATGGTATCTGCCACCTAGAACATACCTGTACAGTCTAGTTGTGATGATGATGATGGTGATGACGACGACTTGGATCATCTGAATGAGCAGGTAATAGAGATGGCACCACCATCCATTATTGCAGAGCCCTTTGCCTATACTATACTGTCTTAATACTTTAGCAAACATATTGTACCCTTTGTTTCTAGATATTCTTAGGCCCTTACCAGCTCCTCTCAGGCCCATATCATTATATTTACCATGTGCCACCTACATTAATCATAGGTTCACAAGACTCTTAGTCTATTAGAATTCCCATTTACCATTTTTAATTATATTTTCTGGACAAATTCAAACCCACTCACTTTCATGGCCAGAAATCCAGTCATGCACCAGATATATAAGCCATTCCCTTCTGAAGACAGTTCATGCATTAGAAGTGGCTGAGAAAAGAATATCAGTCTCCAACTCAATTCTCAGAGGGGATGAACTGTCTTTATTTCCCTTGTATTTATCATGATGTGCAGAGCAGGGGTTCAATCTAAGTGTGAGTAAATTGTCTTAAACAACCAGGTGACTGAGAGTTCTGAGTTTGAAATGACCCTAGTAGACCCCTGAAACTGAATAGGTTCCAATCACAACAGAGACACTGAGAGAACATTATTTTATGCAGTGCATTCTTGCCCTTCTCCTGTATCATATGGCCTGCCTAGCTCTTTACCCTCATCCTGAGAACAGCCCTCCTCCTCATTACATTCAGCGAACACTGGTCTCTCAAATATCTTTACTACATCGGGGACTCTACTTCCCAAGGCTTTATTTACTTGGCTGCCTTCTCCTCTTCCTCCTCCTCCTCCTCCTATGGGTCTCATCTCTTCAAAGAGGCCTTACATGACCATCTAACCAAAGCAGATCATTCTTGTATATCACAGCTTGCCACTCCTTCTGTGTTTTCTTTTTGGCCATTTCTTTATTTTGGCTTACTTCCTCTACCAGAATGTAAGCTCTACGAGGAAAAATTTATTGCCATCATTTTCTCTCGCAGCTTTCTCAGTGCATTAAGCAGCCCCTGGCAATATAGTAAATGTTCAATAAATACATCGAATGTAAGAATATTATTTACTCTCCAAGGGCAAGAATCTTCTGACACCTTCCTATCAACGTCCTCTTCAACTGACAAAGGTGTATGATGTTCCCCGTGGGGAAGAAGATTCTCCTTCTTCCTGGGCCCTCTAATTCCCTCAGGATGCCATTAAAACTTGCTGGAATGTCTCACCAGAACTGCATTTGTTGAAATATACCCCTCCTGGCTCCCAAGAGCAAAGGGATACTTACGGTAAGGGGCAGTGAGCAGCCGTCAGGACCCACTCAGGGTGAATGAGAGACCCCACACAGGGCTCTGGGCTGGACTGCAGATAGACCATGTAGGGAACAGTAAAATCTTCAGTTTCATAAGTTTGGGCCAGAACAACTAAAGAATTGGTGGGGTCAGAGGTGAAAAGAGAGACAACGAGGTTGAGAAGTGAGGGTTGGCTACAGTAGTTTTTCCCGGCCTAAGGCTTTCAAAGATAATATCAAAGTCTTCAAATATATATATATTTAAATCAGGGGGGATCAAGCATGTCACTGAAGGTATACACATTAAGGAAACTGACACATGTCTTTGCCAGGCATGGAAGTAAAACATGAAATACTCCCTGGCTTTGCAGGTGAAATGAATGGACATGCTTGGGGTGGGGCCACGAGCTTGCAGAGCCCCTGACCAGCCCACCTTCCTTTTCTTTCCCGTGCTCACTCCTCTGAAGTCCATCTGCCCACATAGAGGGAAGACATGTTTTTCCTGCGGCTGTCCAGGAGACGTGGCAATTAGAAAACCACATATTCAAGACTGGGACACTTATTAGTGACATGTCCTAACATGTTCCCAGGCCTCCGTGGGCTTAGGGAGTGTGCTGATGGGACTGAGCTGTGCGCCCAGACTGGTTCCTCGCGTTTCCTTCAACAGTGTGTTGAAGAAGATGCCCACAGCTTCCTATCTCTTCAGTGTGGCTAGCTACTTCTCTTTCTGACCCTCCCCTACACCACCCCATCTCTCCAAGGTTGCGACAAGGGCCCAGACTCTCACCAGCTGCCCTCAGGAGAATGAAGATGAGACAGCTCTCCATGGTGGGCTGTGGTCTTGCCGCGAGCAGCCAAGTTGGGTCAAACTGGAAGTGATCCCAAACTTCAGCCCAAGTGTCCCTGCCAAGAACAGCTGGGGAGGAACATTAACTGGGGGTGAGGGGGAGAAGCAAGGATCTTATAGTAGTCTTCCAACTGGTCTTTGTCAGAACCCACTTATACAAGGAACGCTGGGTGCTGTCCCTGCTGTGGGTGAAAGAGAGGAAGGAGCTGACCCAGTGAAGCCCCTGGTGCCTCTTTTCTGACCCTAAAAATCTCAAGAGTCCTGAGGCGCTTGCTGACATTTTCCTGCCCCTCTCTGTGACATAGCTCTTCTCTGTTGGCCCCTCCTCTCTTTGTGACGGCCAGCCTCTTTCCCCACCCTCACTTGTCACCTCCCCTTTTCCAGAGTCCCTCATAGAGCCATTCGCACAGACTCATCAAACATTGGGGTAGGAAACACATTGAATAACTTCTTTCCCCTTTATTTTAGAAATGAGGGAGCTGTGGTTCTCGGGGGAGTTGGTGGCAAAGTCAGGACTTGGAACCAAGTCTACAGATTTCCTCTGATAGGTTGAACTTGACCTAAGCCCTGTGCTCCCAGAAGACAGTAATAGGTAAAATATCCCTGGGGATTGCTGGTTACCTGTGACAAAGTCCTCACAACTCTTTCCCCTTTTGTCTGAAACCAGACATTGATCCTCCAATTCCCCATTTATTTATTTGCCTCATGAATGAGTAGCTGAGCTTAAAACGGTTTCTCCCCTGAAACTAACTAAACAAAAACAGCTGACCAAAAAGTCCCTGACTGCAAAACAATCTCACTGTAAATCTCCCCACTTGTAACCTTTCTATTTCTCTCAATAAAAATCTCCCCATCCTGCTCAGACATTGATTTTTGAGTCTGGAACATCTTATTGCAACAGTCTGAATAAAATCAACCTCTGTACTTGTTCAGGTGTCTTTGACACTACTCTTTCCGATGCACCTGCTTGTTTTTATAAGTTAGCCTATGTGCAAACATTCCAAATGCCCCCCCACCAGAGATGTGTAAGAAAAATGGATTTGATCAGAGCTATTGTGGTGTCCTTGTGTCAGAATGTTTGGAGGTGATCCTTTCTCAATTTTGGGGGAAGAGTTTTGAGAAGGATTGGCATTCATTCTTCAAATGTTTGGTAGAATTTGCCAGTGAAGCCATCTGGTTTCACTGTGTCAGAAGAGAGCCAATGAGAACTAAGGAAACAAAACAGGACTCTTACTTATAATCAAATAGTTAAGAGCCTTGAGTGCCAAGCTCAAGAATTTGGACTTTATCCTAATGGCAGCAACAGGTGATGTTAAGGGCTCAGGGCTGCTCTGGCAAGTATACCATCTGAAGTTACAAAGGGATAGAAAATGTTTATGAGGGCATATACCTTTCTATACCCTCCTTTCCCAAGACACTTGCTATGGACTGCATGTTTGTGTTCCTCCAAAATTTATATGTTCAAGCCCTAACCTCCAAAGGGATGGTGTATGAAGTCGGCATTTGGGGGAGCCAATTATGTTTAGATGCGGTCATGAGGGTGGAATCCCCATCATGAGATAGTGTCCCTATAAGAAGACATTCGAATGAACTCTCTCAGCCATGTGAGGATAAGTGAGAAGGTAGCTGTCTATAAGGAGGTGGGTTCTTACCATTTCCTGCTGGCTCTTGATCTTGGACTTTCCAGCCTCCAGAACTGTGGGAAATTGTTTTTTGTTCAAGCCACTAAGTCTGTCATTCTTTGGTTTATAGGAGCCCAAATGGAAGGCAACATACCTCTTCTTCAACTGTTCTCTGGGACCACGAACAGTTTCTTCTTTCAAACCTCCTCATCTACTTCAATAATTCCATGCTCAGGCCCACTTGTGTCTTTTCCCTTGAACTGTACCAGATATGCACAGAAACCATGTGTTGGGAGTTGTAGTCCAAACCATCCTCTGGATGATCCATGGAACAGCCTGGAGCTTGGGGAGGAGTTGAAGAGCTACGGAAGGTGGCTGTGATGTCTTTCTATACAGAACCGAAGAGAACAAATAACTCTTCCATAGCCTAGACTTCATGACCTTGAAGTAGTGCTATGTTCTAAAAACGTATCTGCATGTGTACTTAATTTTTGCTTATGGTTCAAAATAGTACATCATTGGGGCTGAGGTTTGGGGGCCTGGTGGTGGGAGAGGGCCACAGATGGTCTGTAGGCATCATGCCTGCTGTAGCAATAAAACCCCAGTTGGAAAATAAGAAAGCTCTTGAACAACTGGCACATAGGTAGGTGAAATCTTGAATAATGCAGGACATGTGTGACTTTACATTCCCCTTCTAGAGAGCCTCACGGAGCTTCAGAGCAGTTAGAGAAGGAATGGAGAGCACAGTGTCGAAGCAATAATGGTGCTTTGGAAATAGGACAGCTAGAGCATCATCCCTGCTTTCCTACGAACTAGCTGAATAACTCTGGGCAGTTGATTTTAACTTTGTTCGTGTCACTATCAGTTTAAAAATGTGATGGTAACAGTGACCCCCTAACTTTATTCATCTGTATATCCTCAGTGTCCTACACTGTCTGGCATACAGTGAGTAATCAGTGATTCATTTTGATTAGGTGAATAGACAGCCAAATAACCTTTCAAATTCTACCCTCATAGAATAGTTCAATTCTATGTCCACTCTATTACTCAGAAAGCAGTTTCCAGAGAAAGTCTATGAATGCCAAATAAAGATAGTTCTTGGACATATTTGGTGCAGGGAAAACGTTTTTATTTAGGTACTGGTTTTAGACAAAGGAAGGAGGTGACATTGTCTAACAGGGATGGGTAAACGTGCTTAGTTGGCAGCAATGGTGTCCTTGATCCAGGTCACGTAGTTGCAGACCCTGGTGTAGACGCCAGGTTTGCCCTTCATAGCACAGCCGTAGCCCCAGGAGACAATGCCCTGGAGCTGTCCGTTGCAGACCACAGGGCCACCAGAATCACCCTGAGCAAGAGGGAAAAGCCGATTAGAACTCTCAACCACACCCAGATGGAACAAAAGCTCAAAGATGTTCCTCCATTATCCTGAGGCCATCTTCCCAGACTGCTGCTGATTCTCCATGACGCCCCTTCTCTTCCCCCTGGAAATCCAACCCTCATTCTTCATACTACACCGCCATTCTTCCTCCTCCCTCCTTCTAGATCCTCCTCTTCCCTTAGTTGCAGACCTGAGGCCAAGAAGAGGTGAGAAAGGGGAAGTGGAAGGCTGCCCAGTCAGCCCTGCTCCTTTCAAACAGTGCTCCTCTGCAATAGACCCCGCAGCAGTGCCTTAGATGTAATATGTGCACACCATCTTTTGTATATCTTTTCACCCTTAATTCTAACCATTCGTCCGGCAAAAAGAAAAACGATCATTTATCCCACATCTATCCCTCACCCCTCATAATCAGTCCCAGATAAAGCCTTGTAATCGTCTGTGTTTCAGAAAAGGGGAACTTTGGTAGAGATGTATGAGAGGGGGCTGGAAAGGAAAGGGATGCAAAGGACTGACCTGGCAAGAGTCCTTTCCACCCTGTAGGAAGCCCAGACACATCATGTTGTTGCTGATCTGGCCTGGGTAGGCATTGCGGCAAGCACTGTCGGAGAGGATGGGGGCGTCCAGGCACTGCAGGAGCTCAGGGTAGTTAGCTGTGGGGTGTAGGAGTGAAAATAGAAGATGACCCATAGGATTCTCTAGAAATTTCTTTTCCGTGATCTCTCCCCCCTTTCCAAATGCTCCCACTTTTTCATGTAAATTGCCAGTAACTTCTACTTTGGATGAGCAACTTTTATCTGGAAGGCCTTCTGAAGAGTTTTAATCAGCCCCAGCATTGTGGCTCAGTGGTTGAGCATCAACCCATGCACCAGGAGGTCGCTGGTTCAATTCCCGACTGGGGCACATCCCCAAGTTGTGGGCCAAATTCCCAATAGGGGGCATGCAGGAGGCAACCAGACGATGTTCTCTCTCATTAATGTTTCTCTCTCTCTCTCCTTTTTTCTTCCTTTCTCTCTAAAATCAATAAAGAAAAAAATATTTTAGAAGAGTTTTAATCAACAAATTGCCTCAGTGACCACAGATCTCAAATCTAGAGACTTTATTTCTCAAGCCAGATTATACTTCAGGCAGTCCCAAATCCCTTAGTCTTGGCTCTGTTTACCACCCAGTTCCTAGTTCTCTGTAAATCACTAATTACCTCAGTTGAATACCTGACATCTTTAGTGTAGTCCATGTGTGCTGTGTTTCCCAACATAAGAATCTTCCACATTTCCATTAATATAATATAAGACTCCACAGAGGCACAGACTACCCTCTGTGAACCTTGTCTTGAGTGACAGTTTGGACTAACTGATACTCCACATGCCTCTAGGATTCTCGGACTTGGTGCTTATGTTTCAGGTGATACTTACAGCCGACGCTCTGGGTGTTGCCCCAGCCAGAGATGAGACACTGGGTACCAGCACTGGCACAGGTTCTTGGCAGAGAGACAGCGGAGACACGAGAGCTCATGGTGGCGGGTGACTTCAGTTTAATCAGCATGATGTCATTATCGATGGTGTTGGGATTGTATTTGGGGTGGCGGATGATCTTGGCTGAATTAATGAACTGCTCACCGCCCTCAACAACTTCAATGTTGTGTTCTCCCAGACGCACCTGGATTCGGCTGGATGAAAGGATTACAATTCTTTAAGTATTTTACTTGAGCATTTCCCCTTACCAGCACACCCCAGTCATGAGCATAAACTCAGACACCATCCCCTAAGCATTCACATACACAGGTAAGCGTACACTTAAGGCAGTTCTACCAAATAGGGTGCAGTTAGAATATTTCTTGGGTAGGGGCCAACACAGGCACAGGTGGACAGCCCACCATCTTGTTGGAGTAGTAAGGCATAGGAATGGGAATCAAATACTCCAATAAAACAGCAGGAGATGAAAAAGGAATTGGTGGCAGTTGATCAGCACCTGCCATTTCTCGTCTGGTTGGGATTACTGATTATTATGGAGAGATTCAGCAGCAATCAAGGACATGACAAGGTGGAGAGAGCAGAGTGGGTTGTGTTTATTTTCAATGTACTGAAATTTTAATGTATTTTATTACCCCCCCATGGCATTTTTTCTGGTTGAGCTACAATGACTAGGACTATTTAATGGTTAATGCTCTGCAGTTGGTTCTCAGCATACTTCATTATTCACTGTTTCCCCTCCCTTGTCTTTATTAGGAAGGACCTCAGGGAGCTCTAAGTACACCATGTGGAAGTCCCTCAGTGCATCATTCAATGCCTGGGGGAACAATGAGGTTCTTGGAATCTGAATGCTCACCCCTCTGTCATAACTCTGGAGTTCACCCTGCTTGTGCCTTGGCGAGGCTAGGGGATAAGTTGATCTTAAAGAACAGGGATATGAGTATTGGTTACTTACGACTTGTAGCAGTGAGCCGCAGACACCACCCACTGGTTATTGATGAGGGAGCCCCCACAAAAGTGGTAGCCAGCATTCAGGGACACCTGGTAAGGGACGGAGTTCTTTTGGCAGGTGTAGCCCCCAACGATCTTGTCATCATCATCAGCGGGGAAAGCAACTGACAGAGAAAAGTTGGAAACTATCTGTTAAACAGATCCATCTGGGTGTTTTGACTCACTACCACGTTTTTGCAGATTGACCAGAAAAGCTCAGATAGTTTTCCTGTCACACAAAATCAGGAAATGATGATATTCAACGTAACTTTTCTTAAAACCCAATTTTTCTATACCTTTACTACATAGCCCACTTATACCATGATAAGTATCTAATTTTTAATTTATGCTTTAAATTTGATAAACATACAGTTTTTTACATACTTGATGCCCCTCTCTCTCACACTCACAGATAAGAGACTTTATATAATAAATGTCCTGAACACCATAACTAAGAATAGAAAGGGTACTTTTTACATAAAACTATGCTCAGCAGTCATGCAAATGGTATCCTATACAGCTTTGCAATACCCAGGGTCATGTTTATTTGTGGTGGTTGGTATAGGATAGATATTCCCAGGAGGTAACAGAAAGGAAGCTTTTAGAAGCCATCTGAGAATGTTCTGGCCTGGAAGAAAATGGGAATTTTGTACTACCCCCCAGCCCCTCAATTTCTCTTCTTGATCCACACCTAAAATTTTCACAAACTAATTTCATAAGAACATGATAAGTTTTCTGTCTCCCGCTTTTCCCCGTATCCCAATGATCTTTCCAACATTTTTCAGATTTACTAAGATTTCTTACAGCTCTAAAAGTCTTTCATTATATTATCTGTGTTCTATTGTTCAAGTATTTTAAAGTAATTTTGGAAAATGCATGTCCAGGTATGCAAAGAGCAAGTACATATTGAATTTGTACTTGCCCGATTTGGGAAAATGTAGTAGTACATTTTCGTAGCATAAAAATAGTTATTTATCTATCTCTTTTGATGATTTGACTGATGTCAAATCACACTGGATAGGTTGTAAAACCCAGCCCATGGCTTTTATCCAAGAGAAATAAAATATCTTTGCCTGCTCTGATCCCTGCTAAGATGCCCTTTAGGAGAGAGGACACTCGGGCTCTGACCCTCACAGCCTCTGCGAGGAGCCAAGATTCGTCATTGTCATTCTTCCTAGTTGTTAACTCCAAATCCTTAGAAAGGTCAAAACAACATTTCCTTACTGTTGACTACCCTTTCCTTTTCTCTCTTCCTCATAGATTTTACCTTGACTGTTAGGGCAGGTGCTGCCTCTGTATATGAATCTACACTTACCACCCCTGCTCAGTGATCTTCCCCCAACAAGTGATACTGATTTATCTACAGACACAGGTACTGTGCACTGTTGTCTCAGCATTCTAAGCTTCTTGAGTGCAGAGATATACACAACATTCATTGCTGCCTTCCAGAGTACAAAGTGCAAACTCAAACACATGCTAGACCCCTACTGATTCATTTAGTAATAGAGACTCACCAGCGGCTCCCAGGAGAGCAAGGAAGATGAAGGCCTTCATGGTTGCTCACTGGATGTGGGTGGGAATATGGGATAAAGGGCTTCACCCATCGCTATTTATGCCTCCAGGTTTGCCATTGACATGCATGGCCACAGGTGCCAGAAAAATGATTTCACTGGAAATTCACAAATTTAGAATTCAATTCTGTGCCAAATTGAAGATAACTCAGCATCCAATTTAAACATCAACCACTCTTCCAGAAGGTTATGGGAATGAATGTAATGACCCCACCTGGTGGGAACTGTTCTCCATAATAGAAAAGTAAGTTGGAGTAAGGTCACAGAACAGGGCTACAGGTGTCCTGGTTCCCAAATAAAAGTCTTAGGTACTTGCTTGTTCCAACTGTGAACTTTTATCCTGAAGACTACCTTGAACTTTATACCCTTGATGTTTAACTAACACTGGCTCTTTCACAGTCATATAATTTTTCTTGTGGTAACTCTGGTCTTGTATGTCCATATTAATTTTTCATTAATAATAGAAACAACTTGTTCCCCTGAAAAGAAATTATTTTGACCTGAAATTACAATATATCTAAACAAGAGAGTGAAAAATAATGTAATTTACACTTATCTAAAACATAGTCTATATTAGGACTTTTCTAAATACTTTGCCTATATTAATTTAATAATCCTCAGAACAACCCTACAAGATACCCGTTATCATCCCCACTTTACAGATGGGAAAATGGAGACACACAAAGGTATAGGGAGCTTGACCAAAATCATGCAACAAGTACATCGTAGGGTCTAGATTCCAACCCAGGAACCCAGGCTTCAGAGTCTGTGCTCTAACCACTATGCAAAACTTTTCCAGTATGTTCACCAAAATCTGGAGACCAAGGGAATACAGAAGTCTTGGCCAATGATAAGACAGTTGAAATCTGGGGAGTGCTTACTATGTGCCAAGCACTATGAACAGGTCTATATACATCAACTCATCCACTCCTCACCAACAACTTTATGATGATTGCTATAACTTTTACCATTTTATGGATGAGGAGGGTGAGGCTTAGAGAAGGTTTATGCTTTGCTGAATGCTTTATAGGTATTAAGTGTTCAGCACAGGATTTAAACTCAAGTAGCCTCATTTTAGGGTTCATGTCCTGCACTGCAGCACCATAAACATGAGCCAAAAGAACAATCTGAGCTCTATCAAATTCAGGGAGGACTCTAGGGAGCATAAGGAATTCTGAAACATACAAGAAATGGGTTCCTGGAACAGGAATTATCATAACAATGGGGTACAGGAGAAGCATCCAAAATATGTGACTCTCAGTGAGAACTAACCTCCAGCTTCTCACCCCACCCACTCATACCCAGATTCCACATCCAGGCAATACACCTGAATGACCTACCAGAGTGCTCCTGCTTTAGCAAATCTTCCCTTCCTGTTTCTTTTGCATTTGAAAGTTTGCTGATTTGGAGATGATTTACTAGAAGAGTTTATCAACCCTATTGACATTTTGGGTCAATTCTTTGTTGTGGGGAACTGCCCTGCATGCATACTGTAGCCTATTTATCAGCATCCCTGGCCTCTGGTTATAAGTAGCACTAGCCTCTCCTCCCAGATATGACAACCAAATGTGCCTCCAAACACTGCTAAATGTCCCCAAGGGGTCAAAAATCATCCCCAGAGCTGAGAATGACTGATCTTAGGCGAAAAGATGGGCAAGGTAGCTTCTCAGGCGATATGGGAAAGTACCTTAACTTCAGGACACTAGAGGCAACTCAGTAACCACTGCATGAATGATTCAAAAGGCAGCAAGTTGCTTTTAGGGACCTGATTATTGGTCCCTAATAATCAGGAAATACTAAGGAGTAAGAGAAGGGTCAGGTTCAGAAAGGGAGAGTCTTCTCATCCTGTTCAATTACCTCCCGTGGCTGACACCTCCACACTGAAGTATGGGGATTGTATGTTTCTACATCACCCCTAAAACTTCTCCTGAACCTCATCAGACGTCTTGGCCCTTATGAGAAACACAACTCAGAGCAGAGTTTTTGCAAGAGTTGGCTCGTATGCTGCTATGTCCTAGAAATTTTTCTCCTGTGTGTCCTGGGCTTTTTTACCTGGACACCTTCTTCATAGGAGGGAATGAGTGGGGATGGCCAGATAAGGGCAGTTAGCTGGAATCGATTGCTAATTCCCAAGTGAGCACTCGGAGACCAAGGAGCATGGGCCTGTCGGGCTCCAGGGGGATGCTTCAGTCACCTAAGCAGTTGTGAGGATGTGAGGAAAATGCCAAGCGACGGGTTCCAGACTTCAGTGCTCCCCATACAACTCTCACACCTGGAGCACAGAAGCCACTGAGCACAGAGCCTGCCATGGAAGTGACATTTTGCTATTTAAACCGAGTTTATTTCCCCCGAGTCTCTTCTTAAGCAAAGACATTGACAGTTCATGTGTTGGTGAGTTTTTATCGAATGCACGTGAACATGAACATATGCAACTTAATAAAATAGCTCTTTACATAAAACTGGTTGTTGGTGTACGCGCTAAAACAGAGGTTCTCACCTGTGGGTCGTGACCCCTTTGGGGGTCGAATGACCCTTTCACAGGGGTCGCCTAAGACCATCAGAAAACACATATTTCCGATGGCGATTCATCACAGTAGCAAAAGTACAGTTATGAAGTAGCAACGAAAACAATGTTATGGTTGGGGGTCACCACAACATGAGGAGCCATATTAAAGGGTCGCGGCATTAGGAAGGTTGAGAACCACTGCTCTAAAATCATGTTGCAGACGACTAGCGACATGCATACCGAGCTGTAGGCAGGTGGCTGGACAAAACGAGAGTGGGAAAATGAATGATCACTGATGGTGGTGGCTGTGGCGGTGGTCTGTGCGTGGGAGGGGGATCGAGCTCAGTAGATCTGAATACGAGGTAAAAGCAATTCATGTTCCAAGTGAAAGTGACAAGGACAATGCTCCCTGCTGGGGGGCGGGGGCAGGCCAATGCTGAGTCAGCACGAGGAGTCTGGTTTATATACATGTATGCAGGGTGTCACTGATGTAAACCGGGTGAACGATTCTGAAGATTTCCTCTCACGATGGTGAAGGAGCTTAGCCCTACAAGACAGCCTCTTCCTTCTGAAATGCCATGAATCATCCTGTGAGACTGGACCCCGCCGAATTGGGTTGTAAGTTCCCAGACTCAGGAAATACTCTTGCCTGTACTTGACGTGTGCTGGATTTCCGTTCTCGCTCGCATCAATGAATTCTCATTTACCATCAACGCTGCACAGGCTGCGCTGTGTGTGGGTCTCCTACCTCAGCCCCTCTCATGGACAGATGTGGCTGTGTGGGGGGAAGGCCCGTATTCCGTGTGTACTAGGATGTTGGTACCTATACTTCTTTTCCTAACCTCAAGCACATGGTGGCCCAGGGATGTGTGTCTGTATTTGATGAATCTGTGTTTGTCAGCTCTCTTTCCCACGCCCATTGTTCGTGGCCTTGGAGGACTTTGTACGCTTATGCCTGAACCGCAGTCTGATTGGGCTCCAGCAAATACATTGACTCTCGTATTGGCAAGAGCAGGGGGCACCAGCCTCAAAAAGCGCTTTTGTGTTCTTTCCTCCGAGAGAGCCCGTTTTCTCTTTTCTTAGCTTCTCCAGCCACTTTCCTGGTTCATCCATCTCTATTCACTGAGGTTGTACTGGCTCTTTACGGCACCAACGTGCCCGGAAATTTTTCAAATAAGAATCCTGCTCCTTAAAAAAAAAGATGTACTAAGAAACTTACTGAAAAACTGAAGTAAACAAACAAAAACAAACAAACAAAACTCACTCAAGAAACAAAGTATATGCTTGTGTAATAACCTTGATGCTAACCTGAGCATCTAAGCTGAATTCATAATCTTTGCCATATATACAAAGTCAGTGAGTAGAATGTTTTTGTCTGGGTCCAGTGAACCCTGACACCAGGCCTGGGTTTCCCTGAGAACCCCGCTCGAGGATGGCGTGGGGTAGGGGGTCATTTCTTCTCCAGCTCCATGTGATCATCTCCAAAAACTGTTTGCAGGCTTTAGCGAACTGGTTCTGTAGAGAGCAGGATTGTAAACAGCTGAGGCTCTGCAGGCAGTGTGGTGCCTGTCAGTCACCTGCGGTCCTGGGATGAAAGCAGCCAAGGACACCATGCAAACAAGTGAGCACAGCCGGTCCCGTGAAACGTCATTCACCGAAACAGGTTGTGGGCCAGGCTCCTCCCCGGGCCACCGCTGGTCATCTCTGCTCTAGAAGAAGCCGTTTAGATGCCCCCTGTCTAGACTTGCAATGGAATGGTGGGTCAGTTTCAATAACCGACCTGGCCTGAAATGAAATTAGTCATCTTAAAACAAGGATCTCACAGTTGCCTTTACTTCACGTTGTTTAGGGGAAGGAGGAAGGGGAAGTGGGGATTCAGGGCTGGAGGACTGGAGCCCCTGAGGATGGTGCAGGAAAAAGGAGAGACTGACAGGAAGAAAATTGTCTCCGAGTATGAGAAGCCATCAAGTTGAAGTGTAGACATTGGGGACATAACATTGGGGACATAATGTTACGCATTGATGTGGGCAGAATACTAAGAAATCAACGGAGCTCGTGTTTTGCTATGACATTAAGCCTTATCCTGATTGAGACTTCACTCTGAGATGGGTGGGCTGAGGACTAATGACAACCCTCTGACTGTATGTCCTTATCTCCATGACCCCGATCACCTTCCTGTCTCCCTGGGGGGACTGTGTCAGGGTGCATGGCTTCCCTTTGGCTACAAGGAGGAGCTAGGACTCTACTGAGGTGCCGGGAGTTCTGAGGGAGGGTTGAGAGAACTCCCAGGATGGGAGAGGGTTAGGGCAGTTCTGGTTTTGTTTACAACATAGGAGAAGGGGTTGGCAGAGGCTGGGAGGAGTCAGTGCTGAAATGGGAGGGGTTAAATAGAGTGTTCTGCCCTGGGTCAGGTCTGCAGGTGTTTTTTTCCCAGCAAACCGCTTGCATGGGAGCCTGCATGGGCTAGAAGGCAGAGGGGTTTGAGGTGGGGATAGTGGACCCCGAAGGCAGGTGCAGGTGGAGGACATACCTGCGACAACAGGAAGTCTAGGGCTAGGCCTCCACCTCCATTCAGCCCGTCCAGTGGAGCCATGCTGGGATGGAAACTCCTGGGCTCAGGCAGTGAGTCTGACAGGCCAGAGGTTTCTTGGGGACCTTGCAGA